ATATGGTAGAATACTGCATGTAATCATTTGTGTTTAGAAGTATGTAGTTGGTCTCATCTTAGGAAGTCTGTAACATTCCAGGGTGTTCTGGCATTCACCCCCACATCCTAGGAGCATGGGAAAAGGTCATACCTTGTTTTATTGTTTTATTGTTTTATTGTTTTACGGTAGGATTAACGTAGTTATATCTGTTTCCAGTCTAAGTGGTTTTGGTTTGATGAACTGCTGGACTTTGAGTCCAGCAGGTTTAGGGAAGTCATTTATGGGGTCACACTCTGACACACACACACACGTACACCTCCACATTCCAATGTAAGGAACAAACGCTCACTGAAGTGTATAAATAAAAGACCAGGGCAGTCCTCAGGGTCAGTCTCTGAGACTCACTCTTGGGATGTGAGTTCTGGGGGCTGCCCTTGCTAGCAAGAAATTCTGTGTGTTTCTTCTCTCTGATTCTCTACTGAAGAAGTGTTTTAGAATATATCTCTTAACACTGTGCCATTATATATTCAACCAAATCATAAAATTTCAGGGAATTCAGATTAATAAACAAAATGTTAGTTGGTTCTACATTACTTGAATATTACTTGAATAATAAGTAAAACAACAGCATTTTTCAGATGACGCACAAACACAGCCAGAGGTACAAAAATTTGAAATTTTCCTAATATATGTGTCACTTAAATCACTTAAAAGTCTCTCAAGTGACTCCAAAATGCAATGGCACTTTGGGATCATGACAATGTGTTGCCATGCAGAAGTGAAAGTAAGTGTGTGTCAAACAGTGTCAAAAATGCATAAAGTAAAAATGGATAAATAAAAATAGGAAGTGCCAGTTCTTACCACAAATCTGATCACCACAGCAAGTTCTGTTTACCAAAACAGCATTGGGTCCACAGACAGGAGCTGGTTCAGGAGGTTTACGAAAACACTCCTCAGTATGTGTCTGGTTGTTACATGTACAAAGGTAACAATTGGACCGCCACACTTCACCGGGCTAAAAGAAGTGCACAGGACGTTGTTTTTTTTATTTTAACAGTCCAAATGAAATTAGAGAAATGAAACCTTATTTGGAACGAGGAGGGAAAAATACTTACTAGTTTAGGCTCTCCGGTTGGCCCTTTGCAAACTGGGGAAAAAAAAGAAAGATCTCACACATTTCTCTGCATAAGAATTTAAATAAAGTTAAAGGTGTCATTGTAAGCCTTGTAGACAAAATTACTCACAGGAACAGTCAGCCACACAGATGTTTGAGTGATTTCCTGCTCTGAGCAAGTTGCTGGGACAGAAACAACCTGCTGTGTTCTTTTTAAGCGAGTCTCCTGGATATCGCAGTCTGAAGCAAAGGAAAAACACAAATGCTGAAAACAACTTGACAACAAGTCTAAATTGAATGTGGCAGAATGTGAGCACAATAAGTACAAATATTATTTGGTAAAAAAACAAAACAAACAAAAACAAAACAAAACCCTGCATAGCAGAAGTCGTCCGTCTTCTCATAACATTCTCTATAAACCAGTCCACCTGGACATGCCACATCTGAAATACGATCATGGACACTAAAGTTAATTACACAAGATTTAGTTTTATGACAAAATTAACACATTAGGCAACTTATGTCTGCACAATGTAGATAAGTGAGTAATAAATTACTGCTTTATTGACTTTGCTCAAAGAAAATCCCACATACCACAGGTTCCATTGGTTAGTTTTCTCCAGTCAACACAGAAACCAGCATTTCTACACTCTTCTGCAGCTTGCTCCACAGCAGCACAAGAAGCATTTGGGTTAGAGCACGAATCAAACTTACAATTCGTCTTTTGAAGAGTTAGATTCACATACTTGCTGCAATTTGCAAAGACTCTGAAGACACAGAAAAGATTAATTTTTTCAAATTCAGATATTTTCACAGTCAAATAAGACAGGTGGCATAGCAATAGTAAAACATAACACCAGTAAAATAAAAAGAAATACAGCTTGGAAGGCACAAGTGAGCTACATAAGCTGATGACCTTTTATAGTCAGTCAGCTTTCACTGAGAGTAGGCCAGAACTTCACTAGAGAGCATGGGAGTCGTGTCAGAGTATACATAACATCATATCTTATCTTTAAATGATTTTGTGGGCACAAAGCTTTACTTTTATGCTATATCAGAGTGATGGCAGTAGCCATTTATCTACAGGTGCACTTATTATTACAGAATCTGATACCAATGAGGATAGTATGTTAGTGTATGTAGCTTACACGTTGTCTAGAAGCGCACACAGCGGACTTGGAAGACAGGTAGTGATTATTTTACTGATTAGTGAAGCTTGCTCAGCATGACAGGATACATTGTTTGGTGCAGAAAAACAGGCTGGCTTCTGAGGATCTGGATACACCCAGTCAAAGGCTGTCTTATCACAACAGCTGTCATCCTCAATCTGCCCTCTTTTACGAATACACGATGCACCACCACACACACCTGGAGAAGGTAGAGAAAAGTGATATATATGGATGTAGATTTACATTAAATGCAATGAGAATATTCTGCATTGCTCTGTATTGTGATGGATAGGTCCTGTTCAGTAGAATTTCCATTTACACTGTTAAAGATACACATAAACATATATACACTATGCTAGAAAAGACTTAAATTACAAAAAGTAACAAATAAAAAAACATGGGACACTGTAAAAGGATTAACAAATCAACACCTGATCTACAAATCTGATTAATGCATATTTTACTCACAGTAGAACATGTAATACATGAAAATGTATCCAATGGTTAAAATGAGAGAATCTACAATTTTTGTAAGACAAAAATAAAGTTATTTTGAATTTGTTATGTGGAACATGACTTAGACAAGTTGTTGCAGGGGAATGTTTACCACTTTGTTCAGCAGGGGTAAATATGGCACAAACCAGAGTTTTAAACGGAGTGCTGATAACAAATCAGATGGTCTCTCTCCTCTCTAATCTCTGAAATTTCCTCTAAAACAAATTTCATTTAATTCACATATGGCTTTTTCCCCCCTTTTGAGCTGTAACCTGCAGTTAATTGTGTTCACAGATATTTATTTCTGAAAGCATTCCTAAGTTCTTCAAATTCTTTGCAATTTTTAATGAGGAAAAAGAATAATTTTTTCTTCTGAGAAACTTTTATACACCAAATTATCCTTCTTATTTGTTGCCAGTTAACCTAGCTGCACAAATATAATATAAAAATATTCCTTCAGCTGTTTCTCTGCACCACTTCCTTTTTCATGACGATTTTTCCCATACCTCACTTTTTAAAGATGTGTTTTGGGCATTAAAGTTCAAGATACAGTGAAATGCCTCAGTTAATAAATTTGACATATTTTTATGTTCTATTGTGAATAAAAGCTGAATTGTTGGACTTGCTTCTATGAGACTTGCTAATCATTGCCTCCTGTTTTTATTTACATTTTACACAGTGCCCCAAAGTTATTTGGAACAGTTTTCAATCACAGATGTGTTCTAGCACTTTTCCCTCCAATACCCACCACATTGTCCCTCGGTGTTGTTGTAGAAATTTTCCATAGCCAGACTGATCAGTAGGTTGTAATACGGGGTGAGGGAAATATAAGAGCGGATATCCGGAAGCTGGATGATAACTTTGTGTTTGACGGTCTGAAATCTCAACCCATGCTCTTCATATGGTGGTTGTATGATCACATTGTTCAGAGTCGCCTAAGGTCAATTAGATCAGTGTCAAACCAATGTCTTAGTCTTACTATTGGCCAGTGTTGGCCTTAAATAAATACAGACTTGAAATAAAGTTATTCTATACTTGTGTAAATAACTGAGATCTGTACTATATTTGTGTTATTACCTACCTGTACTTCAGACAAATGCGGGACAATACTGAGTTTAGCTACATTGCTCTGATATCTCAGGATGATGTCTTTAGCACAAGACTCTTGGAGGCCAGGTACACAATTAAAGTTGTCTACTGCAATGGTTAGATTATGACGTGGTGTACGCTCCTCCACCAAGACGTAGGTGCATTGATTGAGGAAATTAAAAGTTACTCCTTGGAAAGAAATGTAGTGGCTCTGTCCGGACAAGTCACATTGACCTGGGAATGGCACATGAAAAGGTAACTGCAGTAGATACTGGTAGAACATAAATCTATAAAGAAATTCCTACATAAACTAACCTCATTACTTAAGGAAAGTTTCAATGTGTTACTTGAGCCTGTTTCAGTTTATGCATTGTTTTAAATAAATTGCATGCTCAAAAAATGTTTTGTCACACTCATGTTTCTTCTTATTGCACGTTAAAGCTCTACTTGGAACCTTGTTAAACTCCAACCATGCAAAACACAAATTTTGCCATTTTTTAGTTGGTCTTAATCTTTTATTTGGGACTGTATCTAGATCTGAAGATCTACGGTCTAAAAACAGTTATCCTACATGATCCAGTGAAATATTTTTTTTTTAAATTAAGGAAGTATGCCACTTTATCATCTAAGTCTTACATTGACCAGCATTTGATTGAAACATGGTTGGATTTTAAATTGTAGGCATAATTCTTACATTTTTCAAACAATGGCCAAACCAAATAGAATAAGGACAAATAAATGTAACAGCAAATCTTACTGTTAATAAACAAAACAAGATAAAAAAGGATAAAATAGAGAGATAACTTCAGTCTAGAAAAATCCCTGGGAAAAACATGAAAGGAAGAAAATAGACTTACAGTCACATTTCCATGTTTCACAGCATCCATCTGAGACTTTTGTGACCCGACCTCTGGGACACTGGGGAACTGTTGCCTCTGGACATACCAAAGGTGTCAATACAATCTTCCCATTTATGCAGTTCTTGTTCAAGCAATCATCAGTCCACATCTCACCACAAGCCCAGATTTTTGTCTTGTTCAGCTCTTTACACTCACACACTGGTGGTGGGGTAGAAACAATTGTGGGGGACAGTGTCTGGTTTAGTTTAAATAATTTAAAGACTAATTTCTTGAAAAAGAAAATAACGTCCAAAAGAAGATAATAAGCACTCACCCTGGGATGTGGAGTTTTGTATTTGTGGTGTCCTCATTATATTAGTAGATGTTGTGGTGAGTATGCTGGCACTGGCTGTTGTGTTTGTTTCTTCAGGGCTTTCTGAGGTTAGTGGGGCACTTGACCAATTTTCAGTGATTGTTGAGACATTGGTCATAGTTGTCATTGGTACAGAGATTGTAGTAGGAATTTCTGACCAAGCTTGTGCAGAGGTAGACAAAGTAGCTGTACTAGGTTGTGAAAAATTGGTAGGCATTGAGGCATATGTTTCAGTAGCAGATGAAATACTTGTGTTGGTGGCTGTTGTTGACCAGGTTTCAGTGGTTGGTGAAACAGCTGAAGTGTTTTGATTAGAGGTAGTGATGGACACATTTGACACAATTTCTGCAGGAGTTAAAGTGCCTGTAAAAGGTGCTATAGAGGTTATACTGTGCACTGGTGATGTTGTTTCAGTGGTTGGTTTAGAGGGGCTGTTTGAATTTAGTGACTGTGTACTAACACCTGAAGCAACTGTAGGTGTTGACAAAGTGGAAGTGGTAGAAGTTGATAATTGTTCAGTGATAGCTGAGGCAGCTATAGTTACTGCTGCAGAGGAGGTGATGGATATAGTTTCAACACTTTTGTCAGTACTTGAAGAAGCAGGAGTAATCAGTAGTTGTGGGAAAGTAGTTGTGGGCATTGATGCATAGGCGTCAGTCTTAAATGAAGAATCTGTAGATGCTGATGTAGATTTGGTATTTGGTTTTGTTGACCAGGTTTCAGTGATACTTGACATGTCTCCAGTTGTTGGTGTAGAGGTCGTAACAAGTGTTGTTGACAGTATTCCACTGGAAAATAAGGTGGTGTTTGGGTTTAGTGACCATGTTTTAGTAGTAGCTGAAGTAGCTGTAGGTGTCAGTAAGGAGGTAGTGGTAGATGTTGATGATTGTTCA